GGGTGGAAAGGAACCCTCCCTGGAGGGGAGGTTTGAAGGGGAAGCCAGACCAGGTTGAGGAGGTTTTAGCCTTTAAAAAAATTAAATGGGGCCTCCCTGGTGGCATAAGGGGTTAAGTCTCAGCACTATGAAGCTGTCTGCAGCTGAGAACAGTTCTCTTTGGCCAGTTTGATACCCACAGGGTGCAGCAGACCTCTCCTGTCTCCCCACTGCTCCCCTCAGCAGTATATTTCAGTAGATCTGCCTGTTCTGCTCCCCACTCTGTCTCTGGGGAGTCCTCTCAAGCCCCGTACCTCTGGCCTACACCCCAGCTCTTGTGTGCATCAAAAAAAAATGAGAGTATAGTACAACCTAACCCAGACATGGAGACAACAGAGGTGCAGAACCCCATCACTGCAGGGCCCCTCCAGATGTGCATTTTTAGAGGCACACTTTCTCCCCTCCTGCCCTGCCACCTCCTTTGTCCAGGGCAACCCCTCCTCCCCATCATTTTGCTATTTCAGAATGACAGAGGAAACCATAGCGCATTTGGCCTTTGGGCACAGGCCCCATGGCAGAGCGGGCATGGCCCTCTGGGAGGCAGCCAGCTGTGACGCGTGAAGAGTGGCTTCCCGACTGAGACTCAGCCTGAGCCACCCTTCACCTGCTCACGGTTTTTTTCCAGTTCAGGCACTTGGATAAGGTCACAGACATTACGGGCATTCGCGCCCAGGTTTCCAAGTGAGCAGAAGTCTTCATTTCTCAGTGAAAATGGCCAGGAGCCCTGTGGGCAGATAAGCTAGAAAGGGCTGCCAGGATGAGGGAAGGGGATGGAGCACCTGCGGCTACAGGGGGGCCCTGGAGGGCTGGAGAAAGAACCCACTAGGTTTCCTCCTCCTCCTCCTCTCTCTCCTTCTCCCCCTTAGTCCTGGGGCTCCAACCCCCTCCTCCTTGCACTTATCTGCTCCAGACTCATCCTGAGGAGGAGCTGTTCCCCCATCTGCCTGTCTCCAGAGGTACAGAGCTCTCCCCTGCACTAAGCTTCAAGCATAGTCCCTTCATTCACTCACTGCTTTTCACAAATAAGCCCCATAAAACTCGAAAACTCCCAAGAGAGAAAAAGTGACCCACAGGCAGCGGTTATGGTTATGGTTAAGTGCGGCACTGTGAAGCTGTGAAGCTGTCTGCAGCCACTGTAGCTGGAGTTGGATCCCCGCCCAGGGAGGGACCCCCAGGGCGCAGCAGACCTCCCCTGTCTCGCTGCTCCCCTCAGCAGTGGATTTCAGTAGATCTGCCTGTTCTGCTCCCCACTCTGTCTCTGGGGAGTCCTCTCACACCTGCACCTCCGGTCTGTACCCCAGTTCTTGTATGCAAAAATAGATGTCTTTTTTTAAAAATTAAAAAAAAAGGACACACTGTAGGTAAATAGCATCTTATGAAACTTTTCCTATGCCATGAACATTGAACAGCTGCCACTTTTAAACATCTACATGAGGTCTATGTCAGAAGCATACCACTGGCCTAAGCATACCACGGGCCGCCATCTGGAATACACAGTGACACCTGCCGTGTGCCTGGGGACTCCCTTGGAGATGAGGACAACTGAGAGGTCACAGTGAGACTTTTTTTTTTTAAAGATTTATTTATTTGTGCATACAGAACTGGGGTACAGGCCAGAAGCTCAGGGGCGGCGAGAGGCTTCACCAGAGACAGAGCAGGGAGCAGAACAGGCAGATCGACGAAGTACACTGCTGAGGGGAGCAGCGGGCGGGTCAGGAGAGGTCTGCCACGCCACGTGGTCACCTCTGGGGCAGGCGGGGATCGAACTCATGCAGAAGTGGCTTTAGCTTCTTAGTGCTGCGCTTTAACCTGCTGCGCCACCAGGGAGGGCCAGTGAGACTATTTTTAAAAAAACATTTATTTATGCTTACAAGGGCTGGGGTATAGGCCAGAATCGTGGGGGTGCGTGAGAGGAGTCACCAGAGACAGAGTAGGGAGCAGAACAGGCAGATCTATGGAATACACTGCTGAGGGGAGCAGCGGGGAGACCAGGTGTGTCAATCCCTGGCTGGGGATGGACTCATGCTGCAGGGGCTGCGGACAGCTTCACGTGCTGCGCTGTAACCCTCTGCGCCACCAGGGTGGCCCCCAGGGGAATTGCTTTTGCTCAGGCATCAGTTATCACTCAAAATGCCAACTCTGAGGACTGAACTCCATCTGTGTGGAGGCGTTCGGCCATGTCGGCTCAGGACTGCCCTTCTCCTGCACTAGTCCCCTTCACTGGCAGGTAAGGCTGGCCTGTCACACTAGCTGTCTGTAGCGAGGACGCCAAGATGCAGGGAGGACCCAGAGCATTCAGGCCTCCTGATTCCCACAGCCTTGAGCTTCATTTGTGACTGTGAGTTCTAGAATCCTTGGAGGTTTGGAGATTCTTTTAGTGGGAAGAAAAGAATCCACAAGAATTTCGTCTGGCTTACTTTCTTTCTAGGAAGGAATTTCTGTTGCGTGTTTTTCGGTCATTGTGGCCTTGGCTGGAACCAGACCCTGAAGAGGCAGTGCGAAATTGGGGAGCAGGGCACAGGGCCTCCGATTGGGCATGTCCCTGTGATGTGCAGGTCCCCTGAGAGGCCGGGGGAAGAGCAAAGTGGCCCAGAGGACCTGACCAGAGACCCCTGCCAAGAGTTCAGAACTGGGCTTTGGTGCCAAGCAGCCACCCTGGAGTCCGGGCAAATGTGAGCTGACTTTACAAGGTCACCTTGAGCAGGTCCTTCTCTGATCATTTGCTGCTTGATACAACGTCTAACGATCATTTCTTCAGTGTTGTTTTGTAGATATTTTATCCAGACTCATACATGAAATTGGAGTTTTTGCTGACACACAATAACTGAAAGTTATTTGGTTCTTTAATTAAAAGAAAATTTATTTATTTAATTATGCATGTTAAGAACTGGGGTGCAGGCCAGAGGTGCGAAATGTGTGTGTGTGGGGAGGTGAGAGGATTCATCAGAGTCAGAGTGGGGAGCAGAACAGGCGGATCCACTGAAACACACTGCCCAGGGGAGCAGCGGGGACAGGAGAGGTCTCTGTGCCATGTGGGCCACTGCCTGGCCGGGGACTAAAGTTGTGCTGCAGTGGCTGCTTGACAGCACTGTGTCTTTAACCCCCGCGCCACCAGGGAGACACCTACTAGGGTCTTTAATTTCAACATATTTCTATATATGAACTCATGCCACTCTGGATGACATGGGGGCTTTTTTTGTGTATAGGGGTGTTATAGCTGCTGCACAGGTGGTCTTTGCTACTCCTGGACTTCACCCTCCACATGGTTATTAGAACCCTATTCGCGACCAGTAGCAGTGAGGAGGGTGGGCTGGCTGGTGCAATCTCCAGGTTGGCCAACACCAAGATACCAATGTGTAGGGACTCTGTTAAAGCTGTTACATTGAGTGTCCCAAACTTGGGGGTACAGTACACTCCCCAAAGTAACAGGCCGCTTCCTGAACATAGTGATGGCTTCCTGCAGGACAGGTGAGGGACTTGCCAGCATGCTATGGATACAGCCTCTGCCGCCAGCGATCGGGACTACCCCTCTGTAGGCCAGATTCTGGGTGAAGTTTGCTATGCTCTCAGCATCTTGTGTTTTGGGGTCCAACATATAGAGGGCCTGTTTGGGATCATTAACTGACCCATGTAGACCTGAGTCATGTAGACTACAGCTCACGCCTCAGGAGCTATGTGGTAGAAGAGTGTTGTTCTTGTTACCAAGGCGCCTTTTAGGGCCTCCCAGCTCCAGTGTTTGTAGATCCCTCATTTCTTTCTGATTGCTTGTCGTGACTCAGTGGCATGGTGACCCAATGGTACCTCTGTTCCCAGTCAAGGTCTTAGTTCCTTCTTGCAAACATACCCCTTCTCAACTTGTTGACAATGTAACGGTTCCCTTGAGGTCTGAAGCCCAGCTGGGCCTGCAGCCATTTCTGCAAGGGTAATATCTTGGTGGGGCCGGATTCTCACTGGCAATCGTGAGCACATTCCTCCTCTGAGTTGTACATGGCTTTGGAACTGCCGCGGAAGATCCACCTTGCAGCCATCTGGGAATCCTTATGTTCCGGGATGCCCCAAGGGGCCCATGGGCTCCCAGCCAGGTGACCATGATGGATTGCTGCTGGGAGCTTCTCAGGCTTCAGGTCCCAAGATCGTCCTCGTCCTCATAGAACCCCAACATTGCAGGATACCACCAGGGAACTGGCAGATGGGTGCAAGGTGCAGGATGAGGTGCTCCCCCTGGCCTCTCTTACCGTGGTGTTGCGAGCTCACCCTTTCACTGTGGCAGTTTTTGTTGGTGGGAACATCTATGTCACCGGCCACGGGGCTTCCTGGTCCATGGCTTGGTCCGTTGTCCCAGGCCTCCTGAGGGGTTTTCTGTATGAACATGGCAACTCATGGCGATGACATGGGTCACAGCTATGTGCTCTGGCTCTCTTGTAACTGGGTGGTCCACTTGTCTGGCCGGGACCCATAGAAAAGAGTCAGAAATGGCCAGACAAGTCTGGGAGGAAAAGAACAAAATCAAAATCAGAATAAACACTGTGATAGTCAACTTCCCTAAGGGTCTCTCACCCACATCTCTTTCAACCAGTCCAGGGCCAAGAAACAAGCACGGTGGTTTCTTCATCACATGCTCGCTGCTCCGTATGGCTTCCTCAGGTTTCCTGGCTCTCCATCCTGCTGCCTTCTTCCTCAGATTCCTTCTCTCTCCTTTTCACTGCTCAGCTCCACCCTCCTTCTGGGTGGGGCAGGGAACCTGGAACTTCCCCTTTTCCTAGGGACCCCCAGTTACACTCTCAGTAAGGACACATCTCCACCCCCTTGTCTGCGACGATCTTTGACTCTTCGAGTAAGCCAATCATTGTCAGTAGCCCCCACAAGAGAGGACCTCCTCCGCCCGGGTATGCGTGGAGATCTCGTAAATCAGCCTTTTGAGGCAGAAACCGAAGCTCAGAGAAGGAGCAGCTGGCTTCGAGATGTCCCGCGGCTCTCGGCTCTGCTGGGTGCACCCGAATGCTCAGCCGGAGCTGGCCCCTGGGCTCCACAACACTCCACCCAGCCACGGCCGCAAGTCCCGCCGTCGCCTCAGCGCCTCGTTGCCCAGCGCCATCTTTGAGCCTGGCATTGGCGCCCCATTTCCGCAGTACTTTTCCCATAGGGAGTAGCGTATTTGCCCACAGCGCGCCCCTTCTGGGGCTAGAGCTCCAAAACTGGTCAAAATTACCGCACCGTCCGAGGATAAACCATTAGTCTCGTTCTCGGAGGCGGTGGTGGAGGCGCAGTGACCAATTAAAAGATGGCGCCGGCAGCCTCACCGCCCCAGACTTCCGCTCCGGAGGCGCGGGGCGAAGGTCACGTCTAGTGCGCCGGCGCCAGGGGGCGGAGCCGTCTCCAGGGCAACCGCGCGCAGCCCAGGCAGCTTGGCCGGGCAGGGAGCGCGGGAGCGGCAAGCTGGCGACGCGCGGGCCGGCGAGCGGTGAGGGCCCCGGGCGGCTGGGGCCGCTGCAGGACGAGACCCTGGGCGTGGCGTCCGTGCCCTCGCAGTGGAGGAGCGCCCAGGGCATCCGCGGGGAGACGGTGAGGGCGCGGCCCGGCGCGGGCGGCGCGGGCGGGAGGCGAGGGCCGCGCGGCCGCCGGGCCGGGTTCCACGTCCCACCGTGTTTTCCCGTTTTGACCCGCAGAACGAGCCCCTGGGATACGCGCGTCCCGACTTCCCAGCCTTTGAGCAAAACATAAAGCTCTGTCTTTAAAGAGCTCCAGAGACCGCACGTTTCGAAGCATTTCGTGTGAACTGCAGGTTTCAGGCTTTTCGACAACCGACTTTTTGAAAGACGACCAGACTGACGCTGAAGGGACCCTGGTTTCGGCAGAAGCACCGCAAACGCGGGGCTTGGCCGACAGGAGGGCGAGCTGCGGGGCCGGACCCCCCTGGCGCCGCGAGCTCCCCCGTCAGCTAGTAAAGTAGCAGCCAGCAGACGGTGACTAGGGTGCCCTGGGCCCAAGCAAGAGGGTCAGGAACTAAGGATGGGGCTGGGAATGAGAGCACGGGCATCTCGGGAGGGGACACTTGAGCAAAAACTCTGGGAGACAGTAAGCCACGCGGATACAAACTGGGCAAGGGAACTGTGAGTGCAGAGTGGTCGCAGGAGGGGAAGCCGTGGAGTGGGGAGAGGTCCAGGTGAGGATGGCGAGGCAGCCCCAGTAAGGCCTGGAGGTCATTTGTTTTCAGTGAAAACCAGGATCCTGATTGCGGGTGGGGCAGTTGCTTGCTTCCCAGGAGAAGGCTGAGGCCCAGCTCCCACCCAGCAGTGGCATCTGCAGAGCCCAGGACCTTGCCCACACCACACGAGCTCCCCGCTTCGGAATGGCCCTCGGTAGCAGCAAAGGATGTGGCTGTTTCAGTGAGATTTGCCCATCCTGTTGCAGATGAAAGTATCATTCACATCCACGGGCCTTTCAAGAAACACTTGAATGACTCTGGTTTGCTGAGGATTTCAGACTGGGAACCGCTGATCCCGTCTGCCCCTTTTCTCCCCCTTAACACAGAGTGAGGCTTGTTAGTTTGCCTGTAATACAGCTTTCACCTGTCCTGGGAGCTGACCAATGCCTGAGGCGCTTGCCCAGGTGAGGTGAGCTGCATGAACTCGTCTCACCTGGCTTGTCCATGGAACTTCTTTCTTAGCTGCAGGACTACTGCAGGGGCCTGAAGAAAACAGCAAATGGCTTCTTCATCCAGAGTAACTGTTTCCCCCCTCTATATAAAGAGTATACCTGTAGCCAAAATTTAGAAGAATCTGGGTTAAAGACCACCCAGCAACCTCACCCCCAGCCATGGTTTGCTCCGGTCCCATCTCTATTTTATCCACTTCCCCCCACACTTTCCTTTACAAAAATGGGGTGACACTGTGCATAACATTTTGTGGATCCTCTTAATCTTGACTGCCAACTCTTTTTTTTAAACAATTTAAACCAACCCCTGTTGATGGATTTAAGGTTGTTTCCAGTTTTCTCAATAATATCACCTTGATGAGTGTTTAGCTAACTTTTTATTGGTTTAATTATTCGGCAAGTTGCTTTGAACATTCAGACCATGTGGTGAAGCAGTATTAGAATGTATTTCCATGTTCCATTGATGGATTTAAAGAAAATAGTTGTTAGTACTGATGCTCTTTGGCCTGACTCTGCGTTTCTTGCCCAGGGAGGGCCAAGAGTCTTGGATTTTGGCGGGAGGTCTGGATTGGCCTGGGGCGTTCATGGGAGCGTTTCTTCGGAGGGATCTTGCTGGAATCCTTTCTGTGGGGTCAGATGAGGGTGCAGCTAAGAAAGCAACTTTTAAAACTCAGTACTGTTGGGGTGAGGGCAGGGTCTCGGCCCAGTGCCGCCTCCCACCCTGTCTCAGATGCGGCTGACGCTGGGGTGCCTGGACCCTTGACAAGTGTGGGGTGTGGGTCTGAGCCTCTGTGACTCCAGCTTCACTGGGATGTGGTGTCAGCTGGGAGTCTGGTTCAGCCCAGCTCCGTGGGCCCTCGGAAGGCAGTAAAATCCCAGAACCTCTGCTTGATTCTGCCCTCCCTCCCCGTTATTTACAGATAAAATAAAGCTTACCACCCTTCAGTGGTGTCTGTACCCCCACAGTAGGCAGCCATTACCTCTTTCGAGTTCCAGAATTGCTTCTGGGGTGCATTCCTTGCGTCTAGGTCTATCCCTTTTGGGCTGACAGGCTCTCGCGTGCTTTTGCGTCTCAGAGGAGCCCCGGGAATAGTTGGATTGTTTTCTTACCCTCATCCCACCGGCAAGCTCTGCTACATTTCTCTCCTGCTTGGAGTAACGTTTAGCCGCCTACCTGCGCGCGATCCTCCCTCACCTGGCCGGGCCGCGCCTGCTGTTCCCGTTCTGTAGCTTACGGCGCCCCCTGCTGGAGAGTCTGTGCAACCGGAGCCTTGACTCCAAGTGGAGTTATCAAGAAGTTCGGTTTTAACCTTTTTGAGTTTGCTAGACAGTTTTGATCTAGATTTTTCCTCAGGGCACATGTGAAGGGGTTCAGAGACTTACGACAACACCAAATCGACCGTAGTAACTACAGTTCGAAAGGAGGGGAGCGCAGCCGTCTCCTCCTTTTTCAGTGCCCAGCATCGCCCTCTTGGTTGGCGGTCAGCTCCCTGCCACCCTTGGAGCGGCTGCGGCCTCGGTATTTTCCAGGGCAAGTTCAGGTGAGCAGGAGACTGGCCTGCAGTCCAGTGCACTCAGCGTTCAGTTGCTCTGCGCTCCGGAGGCCGCTGGAGGCAGCTCAGCTGTCCACGCTGCGTCCACAGACCTGCTCAGCTCCACGTAGTCGAGGCGGTTCCACTGCCACGTCTGCCCCTTGGCATCAGCCTGAACTTGACACCGTGCTCGGGGTTTGTGGTGTGGGGTGGAGGGAGCCCTGAGTTGGGTCCGCCCGGCTCCTGTCAGGCTGAGCCTCCCCTGGTGTGTGTGCAGGACCGGGGAGAGTAGAGGTGGGCGGGAGCCTGAGGGGAGGGGACCTTGGGAAGGTGCACCCCAGGTGGCCTGAAGGGAGGTGGCAGTGGCAGTCACCCCCACAGCCTCGGGGAGCCCTGTCCCAGCTGCCCCAGCTGGAGCCCAGGTCTCCAGAGTAGGGTGACAGTGGAAAGGGGGGGCGATGCGAGCTTAGACTGCACCAGGACAGTGGTGGAGGGCAAGGAAGGGAGCTGACCATCGAGGGGCGAGGCCTACACCTGGTGTCCGCACCTGCTGCATCCGTGTCGCCTGGGGGCTTGCTAGCAGTTCTCCGCCCACCCCAAACTCACCGAACCTGAAACTGGGAAGATGGCTGGGAAGATGGCGTTTGTCTTCTTGTCTTGTAGCCCCCGGTGATTCTGGGGCCTCCCCAGACGCTGGCCTAGGTGGTCTAGAACAGCCTGTCGGCTCCCTTGCGCTCCGGGTCAGGCGCCCAGCTGGTGGGCGTGCAGCGGGCAGCGGTGGCTGTGGCCCAGGGGAGCAGGAGGCTCTCATCCCAGACCTCACTCCCCCTCCTTGCGTTTCCTCAGTCCCAGACACAGCCCCACAGGTCCTGGGCTGGGGTGTGTACCGTCGCCTCCCCAGGCGTGACGGCGCCCTCCAGCAGGGAGAGCCAGTCCCCTCTCCCCGGCCAGGCTCTGGGGGCTGGCGGGTGCCCCCAAGGTTTCCTTCCATTTAGGAAGGTGCCAGCAGGTGCCCAGCCCACACCAGCTCCTGCCCACTCTTAGGGTGCAGAGGCCTCTTCTGCACCTTGATGGAGGTTCCGTTGGCCCTGAGAAGCTTGGGGCCCCTGCATCTCCCAGCTCTCCCCGACCCCCCTCTCTGGCGCTGGTGGCTGGGCTGATTGTCGGGCTGGTCACCCAGTTTCCACGTTCAGTTCCGGGCGCATGGCTGACTTGTGGGTCTCCCTGCGAGAACCCCAGTGGCCTGGCCTGGGTCGGCACTTGCTTCTCATCCAGTCAGTAGCCTCCCGGGTGCTGGGGCCCAGCCTGTGGCTTGGGTAGGAGGTTTTCTGGGAGATGGGTCCCCGCGGGCCGAGTCCCTGGAAGGTGTCTCCTCACCTGTCTGCCCCTGCCCCCCCCCCTCCCCCAGTCCACCTACTGCCAGGCCTGCCGAGGCCACTGGGGCCTCAGACGGCAGAGTCCGGCGCCTGCGGTCGCGGGCTGGGAACGACCCTTTGCTCCGCTGGCTTCCCGGCGGCCCCTGCGGCCCCGGCACCTCTGGGCGGGCGCGGGAGGCGGGCTGCAGGCCGGGCACCCCCTCCTTCAGCTCTGCCAAGCCCAGGCCGGGTCTCAAGGGACAAGCCGCCCAGGGTGAGCAGATAACGACACTGGTTTCTTGGTGGTTCAGAGAGTTGCCCGCAGGGTGGCACAGCTGTGTGTTGTCTTTTCCAAAGTGTCTGTGGCACCTGCTGGCGCCCGCCCGAGGTGGGAGGGGGCCGCGGGCGCGAGAGCTTCACTGCGCGCTGTTGGCGTTTTTGCTTCAGTGATTTTTTTTTTTTACTTTGTGTTGAAACATAAAATTTATCATCTTGGCCCCTTTCACCTTTTCCTCCTTAACCACTGTTTTTGGACTGGGAGGATGTCGCCATCTTGGCCGTCCCCAGACCTCTCCGCCCGGAGCCCGGAGCCCGGTCCGTGTCCCGACGCCCCTGCCCCGCAGCCCCCCATTCTGCTTTGGCTCGGCAGCGCCGGTCCCTCCTGTAAGCCGGATCGCTCAGGGCTTGTCCTGCGCCCGCCTTGCTTCACTCAGCACTGTCCGCTGGGCCCTGGGCTCGTCCACGTTGTAGCAGGGGCATTTTCCTTTTTAAGGCCGAATAATGTTCCGGCCTACGGCTGAACCACGCTGTGCTCGCTGCGCGTCTGTCGCTGGGCACTTGGGCTGCGTCTGCCTCTGGCCCGGCGCTGCTGTGCCAGGGGCCGCAGCATCCCCGAGACGCCGCTGCCGGTGCTTTGGGGTGGAGACCCAGAAGTGGACTTGCCGGGCCTGACGGGAGGCCTGTCTTCAGCTTGGGGGGTGCGCCACTCTGCCTCCCCGCAGCACTGGGCCCACTTGCCACTCCGGGGCCCGAGCCCCTGGGCGGTCGGTGACGGGCTCCGGGGCCCGAGCCCCTGGGCGGTCGGTGACGGGCTCCGGGGCCCGAGCCCCTCGGCGGTCGGTGATGTTAAGCATCTTTTCGTGTGGGGATTTGACAGTAACTTCTACACAAAGACCTTGTGTCACATTCTCTTAGAAACGCAGCTTCGAGCTTATCGCGTGCGAGGGGCAGAATCTAGACTGAGGGGAGAGGACACCTCAGCCGGGGGCCGCCGGTGTCGGGGTCGGACTGCTGCGTGCAGGCTCTTTGCTGTGTGACCTTGGGCGAGTTGCTTCAGTTCTCTGTGCCACAGTGCCAACCTCGGGCGTAAGAATAGGATTTGCTCTAGAGGGAGGCGGTGAGGCAAGATGGCGCGTGACGCTCTGGGGACAGAGCCCGCTGGCCCGACGCCTGTCCTGCGGCTTCTGGAAGGCCGAGGCTCCCCGCCAACCCAGATGCGGGGACGTGCGTGTGCGCCCCGGGCCCAGCCGCCTGCGCATTCCGCGGCATGCGCTCCTCGGGCCGCCTCCAGGCCTGTGGCTTCCGTGTCGCAAGCCGTCTGGTGCTTTCCGGAGCCTTCTGACCTCTGGGGGGGTGCACTGCCCCCGGCCTGTGGCCGTCGGAGAGGCGCCTCTGGGAAAGGAGCCTGGAGAGACGCTCCCTGCTCTGCGGGGGGAGTGGCCCTCAGAGCAGACCCTGGCGCCACCAGACACCTCGCTCCCGCCCGCCCTACTCCCCGCCTTTCAGCTCTCCACTCCCAGCTGCCGCACCCCCTCACCCCCTGCGGCTCACCGCCCCTGGCCTCCTCACACCCTTTCTCCCTGAGCAGTGGCGGGGCCCAGCCGGAGCGGTCCTGACCGTCTGCGGGGCCCTGTGCTTACAGGCGGCGGGAGGAGGACCTGCCCCTGCGCCCAGGCCCCGCCACATGCTGCCCCCCCAGCGTCGAGGGGGAGTCGGCTGGGGCTCCCGCCTGCCTGGACGCTGCTGTGGGCCAGCCTGTAGCTCACGCTGTCTGCTCCCTCCTTGCCCCAGGGGCCGGGCTCTTGGCCCACCTGCAGAGACACAGGGTGTCTGATTAGCTCTCGTCTGCCTCCAGCCTCCTCCTGGGCACAGCAGCTCACGTCTTCTGCCCCACCTGGTGTGCCGGGCAGTGCCTGGCGGTAGAGGTGGAGGCCGAGCGTCCTGAGAACGGGACTGGCAGCTCCCTCCCTGGCCTGAGGCCCCGCCGGGGGGGCGAGATGGAGACGCTGGCAGGGGAGAGGGCAGCGGGCAGCAGCAGCCTCCCGCCAGCCAGCTCACAGGCCACACGCCGTGCATCACGTGGGGCCTCGCAGGCTCCCCAGCACTGAGGGGCACCCCCCGGCGGGGACAGGGCGCCCTGCTGCAGGTCTGAGCTTGCCCGCGTGCAGCTCCGAGGGGTCCCGCTTTCCAGCTGCTGGCGTCTTCAGCACGGGCGCGCCCGGCTCCCTTCCAGATGACGGCCAGGCCCAGGTCAGGCTTGTTCTGGGTCATGTGGTCACCCTGGACCCGTCACTGTGTGTGACAGTCTTGGGGCGCCAGCAGCGCTCTGACTGGCAAGCTGGGGGTCCCTGTGTTTCCTCAGTGGACTGGGAGGTTGGAGGGGTCATCACACAGGCAGACCGGGGTCCTCTGGCCAGCGGTGGACTCGTTACTAGAAGAAGAGCCAGGCTAAGCCTGAGCAGGAGTGGCCGGGGGCGCCCGGCAGAGAGAGGCCGGAGGGGCATGGCCGGAGCACAGCCTGGCGCCCGCGGGGTCTCGAAGTTGAGAGTAATCGACAGACGACAGCTTCAGGTGGATGAGTCCAGGGTTACCCTGCGGCTGACCGAGGGTGGGCAACCCCGCTGTCTGAGCCACGAGACCGGAGCCCGCGCCGGTACAGGCCCACGGAACCTCGGAGCGTCCAGGGATCGTGCGCCCCGACCCCATCGCACCCCGCCACCCTTAGCCCCAGTGTGACTGCTCAGTGTCATTCTCCTCCCCCAGAAGAGCTGCCAGACCGTGGGCATCGCCACGGCCGAGGCCGGGGCCCAGACCCGGACGCTCGCGGACGCGGAGGTGCAGACGGAGGCCCCGGCGCCCGTCGCCGAGCTGCGGGTGGCCCGGCACGAGGGCCCGCGGCTGGCAGCCTTCCTTCGCCGCGTGGAGCCCCTGGTTGTGCGAGAGCTGAACAGGAACTGGCAGAGCCACGCCTTTGACGGCTTTGAGGTGAACTGGACGGAGCAGCAGCAGACGGTAGGGGCTGACCGCCGGGCCTGGGCCGCGCCCCCCCCCCCCCGCCTCGGGGCGAGCCTCGCTCCCCTGGAAGTCGCAGCCGGCCGCAGTAGCCCAGGTGCGCCCAGCGCTTACCGTTTGCGGGGCTCTGAGCACAGCTCCCTGCGCCGGCCCTGCTGCCTTTGGGGGACGTGCTGGACTAGATGGGCCTCAGCAGCAGGCGATCTGAGCCTGGGGAGCTAATCCCATGGGCTCCCTTGGGGCGCAGGGCGGCCGCCTCAGGACAGCCGCATCACCTCCGCCTGGTGGACGGCGACCAGAGAGGCGAAGTGACTTGTCCAGGGTCACACAGCCGTAACAGGCTTGTCAGCCGGTGTCACCGCTGCGCTCTCGGCCCCAGCACTTCCGGGTCTTGCCGCCCAGCGAACCCCGAAGCGCCTCGGGCCCAGCGTGGCTCCCCCCCGCGGGAGCCCCCCAGTGCAGGACCGGCCCCGCAGAGTGGGCCTTGAGCCTTCCGAGCTAACGCACAGTAGACGAGTTTCCAGCGGCCGGAGCTCAGCCCTCGCCCTGCCACCCGTCCGCACCGTCACCGGTGGGGTTTGGGCATCAGTTACTTGCGAGAAATCCTGACGCGCTCCGAAACGGTCGGCCGGACGCTGCGTCTCCCTCACACGGCTCCCGGCGGCGCACAGAACAGAGAAATCTCAGCCCCGTCCCGCCGGCGCCGAGGGCACAGCCGCGCTCCCGCCTCGTAGCTCCCGGGGCCAGTCTGTGTCCGCTACACCAGCCCGAGTGCCACTCGCGCCCCTTTAAGACACGTGCTGGCCACGGAAGCATCCGCGTGGCCCGTAGTCAGCTCCACCTTCACCGAGTGCTGACGGGGGCCGGAGCGCCATCGGGCCGCAGCCTTCCCCCGCACGGGAGCGACACCCCTGTGGCCGCTGCCCGTCAGGGAGAACGACGCAGAAGCGGAGGGCGCAGCGTGGCGCTCGGGCCCTTGTCCTCCGGCTGCGCGAAGGCCCCTCCAGCTGCTGGCTGGGCAGACACGCGGCCGGCGTGGGA